CGTTTGCCTTTCTTTTTTTGTTGTTTTGTGTGTGTGTGTGCACTTTCTGGGCCATACCAATAATTATTGAACCTGTGATATGAGGTTTACACTTCCAGGTTCGATACCAATAAATATGCTTTGTATTTGTTTATCAAAATTCAGTGTGGAAGTTTTGTTGTGAATTGTGCCCTTTGAAATAGGACACTTGGTGGACATTTCAAACTGCGTCAATGGCGAAAAGATTTTGCTGCGAAAACACGATAACAATTGTAGTTGAAATAAGAAAACAATTATTTGTGTTATCTTTTCATTGTCCCACTCAGCATTTGTGGAATCAGACGAGGCTAACGGTTTCTTGGCCAATCGTGGCATTTCAAAGCGAGGCCTTAACGAGGAATGCTGCCACGGGGGATGCAGCAATAGAGAAGTACGCAAACACTGCTAAAGAAAACACCAGAAGCGAATCCGGACCAAACTGACTTCGTGATACCCGAAAGGTCTACTGGTTATGTTTGCATTCGCTCGCATTAAAATTAAAGTGGTGGTGGTTTGTTTGTTATTAAAATATTAATAACAATGAACTGACTTTTTCTTGAACATTGGCGTATTGTACATTTCCGTTTATTTTGGCTCGCTTTTTAAAATGCAAATGGTAGTGGGTTTTTCTTTTTCTTTTTGCTCTGGTTGGGGTTATTGCAAAATATTACATATGTACTCACACGATAAATTGCCGCCTAAGATAACGAGCATTGTAAGAAACAACCAATCTATGCTTTTCACATTAACACACATATAATTAAGGAAAATGCAAGTCTTTGGCAACACTCTCTCTCTCAGGGGCTCAAGCAAATCCAATCAACCTCACTTGATCCAGTTTAAACATTAAAAAATAACAGACACGAACGGGAGTTAAGTTTAGATGTCGATATGCGGAGAGCATCATATATGTGGTGGTGATTTTGAAAGCATATTCTTATATATGATGTATACTTATTATGATGGAGACTCTTATTCTCCATTACACAAATTGAATTACATTTTTTGTCTTGTTTTTCTGAATTTGTATCTTTAATTGTCTTAGCAATAATCTCAGTTAAATCTATAGGGTTTTACTGAGACAATTAACAACAACTTATTCAGATCAAATTTTGATCTAGATTATTTTGCCTTATTGAGTTTTCTTGAATTATCTCACCAGTAACGTACTTTCATTCTACAAGTAGATGACATTAAAAGTTACATGCAAAGCAGTTAGATTGATTACAATTATTACATACATGTTAATTGTTAGAAACACTAAAACCAATTTAAAGTTTAAACCAAGAATACTAGGTTAGGAAGCAACTTCAATTTTTTTGCGAAACACGAAAGTAATGATATCTCTAAAGCAAAGAGAAAATAAAGAAAAACACTCAGCAAATTTCTATAGAGGAAAAATTTAGCAAACAGGAGACAGATTATTTAGAAAACAAGCAAATTAAACTATATTTGGCCGACCATATCTACCTTATAAAGGACCAGTAGGAATAAGACAACGCCCAGTCAGTGCCCACAACGATTATAATGCAGCCTTCGGGCAAATAACGTGCTTACGGTACTGGATCAACCAAGTCACCAACATCCAGCATCATCCAGGGAAGGTGGGTGGGTGAGTCATGTTGAGTACCAGGATTTATATCCTTCAACAAGCATCAGGGTACCAGCCACACCGTTGTCTCATGACACGCCCAGCGTTGAGAAGACGCACAAGGACACACACCAAGACGATAGTCTTTGCCAATGCAAACTAACCGATGGGCGATTTTTATTCCCCCAAACGACATCCGTTTCCCATCTTCTGATTGGTACGTTACATGCATATCTAATGCCTTGTTCTCCATACAAACCAATGATAGGCTTTACATCTTTTGTGAAATGTTCCTTCCTCACTTTAGTTATGTAAAAGTTACAATGAGAAGAAGTGCAAAACGCTCACTGGGATTCGAACTCGGTTCACCTGATAGGAAGTCAAGACTACTTCCACCCAGTTCACGAATCAGCTGCCAATCAGCGTTGATTTAAACACCATTATTCCTTGTTACATAACTTAATCTCTGAAGCCCTGGACATCATGAATAATGCATAACGTAGGGAGAGCACCCTCTTTTGATATTGTCCGATCTCGTTTGGGAAAAATATATTTCGCAACTGGAGGGGGGGACTTGTTTCTGCAACCAAGTATAGTCAATGACCATAACTGTCATATGTAAATTGTTAACATAATGGTTTTGAGATTAACTTCCCTTAATAAAATCCTCCAGAGCCTTGGATCAAAGTAAATGTGAAATATAGTTTATCGATGGGTAGATAATGATTACAGCCGTGTGGTTGCGAAGGCCTAAGCGTCGCCGTTGTTAAACAAAGTTAATCCGATTACGTCCTTGGACGCTATAACAGAGAAGTGAAACTCATGCATCCCCCCGAAAAATGGCCTTTTGAACGTTGTGTTTCTCAGAAAATAAGCTCAGTATTATTGAAATGTTAAATTATAACGTTGATTGAAAACGTAAATTGGAATGTTAAAATCGCCGTCATCGATGCCGAAATGTCACCTCTTGTTACTGGTGAAGTTGACCTTAATGTCGGGAAGAAATCGTTCGAAAATGTCCCCAAATCTATGTATTTATCTCAATTGCTAGGAATCCCCTCAAAATGTTATTCCACGAGTAGTTCAACACTTATACCATCGAAGTACATTCCCGAATTTCAGCTGGATCTGTTGTTGCAAACGCTTGTGTTACACCTTGAACTATCTCAAAGGTCAATTTCGACGAGGATTTTTTGCCGACCAAATCAAGTCACGTGCATGGTTTTCAGGTTGGCTAATTTGGGGGAAACGGTGACGAAGCGCATTATTAGTATATTCATTAGCGTCACTCAACGTGACTTCGCGTGGGTCTCGTTATCGACCAATGGAAGCCGGCAAAAAGGGTGATATTTATTAATTAATAACTCGTGAAGGAGGCTATTCTGCAAATTATTACTGCACACCACAATGGATAGCAACCTTATTAATATTCCTGACGCCTGAAAAGATTGACAGATATTGCAAACACTAGCGTTACAACTTTTAAAAATGAGGATACCAATCCTATTTGCACCCCTAGCGACGTTGAGGGCGGAAGAGAATATATCAGAAGTTTAACTCAGAAGTTTAACTGCCAGCCCTAAAGGCCGTGCTGAATCACGGCCCAACCGTGCCGAAGTGCAGTTTAAAGATTTCAGATTTTGTGGAGTGGCTCAGCCATGCTGGTGTTACTATCAGTGTGGACACAGAAGTATTTTCAAGTTTTCTCTTTTAGTCGAATGGAAAATAAGGTAGGAGAAACCCAGTTTCTTTGGCAGTTGTTGAAAAAAAATCCATGCAGGTCGTTGGAAAATTGAATTAGGTGACGAAGTCACCTGAATGAATCGGGTTTTTTTACACAAATATTCAGCCGTAGAGCAAGGAACTTGGATTTGTTTCCTCCAGATATAGTGATGTTTTGACAACGATGTTAAGAAACCTGAATAAAATTGTCCCAGGAATGACAGTTGACAAAATGCAGCAGATAGACTGCCATGCGTTTTGTACACGGGGCACCTTGCATGCATTACTTAAGCGTTGATTCCCGGACAATGATTTACGGCGCGGAGTGGCGTTCCGCAATAATAACAGGATTTATAAAGCGCCATTCCATCTAGATCATGGCGCTAAAGCAACACAGGATAATGAAAACAGACATATTAACATGAAATTGGAAACAGGTGAGCTTTTAAGTGTTTTCTGAGTAATGAAATAGTTCCTGTGATCTGATGCTTGAGGGTATGGTGTTCCAGAGCTTAGGGCCGGCAATAACGAAGGCACGGTCAGTGGAGGTGTTCTTGGATCTCTGCACCGACAATAGTGTACCATCGTTACTGGAACGAAGGCCAGGTCGTCCACATACGTTGAGCTGGATGAGGCGGTTAAGGTACTGAGGAGCTGTGTGATGGAGACATTTGAAGATGAGGAGGGCTATCTTGAATTCAATTCTTTGCCGGATGGGAAGCCAGTGAAGTTGGTTAAGTAGTGGAGAAGCCGATTCACGCCTGCCAGCGGTAAATAAAAGGCGTTCAGCATGGTTTTGTAGTCGTTGAAGTTTATCCAGACCTAACTCAGCGATACCATATAGTAGAGAGTTACCATAATCCAGACGGGACAGAACTAATGCACGGATTACGTGGTGACAAGTTTCAAAATCCAGGAACCGGCGAATTCGTGAGATGTTGCGAAGTTGAAAGTGGATACTGCGGTTGAGGTTGAGAACGTGAGTTGACATTGACATTGTTGAATCAAAATGAAATCCAAGATTACGGACGGATTGCGATGGCGTGATGATATTGTCCCCTATTTTCAGAGTAATGGGAGGTAAATTGCGGAGTGTGTGTGTTGAGGCCGCTACCAGAAATTCAGTCTTTGAATCGTTCAATTTGAGCATGTTTTGTGTCATCCATACTTTCAAGTCTTGAATGCAGGTTGACAGTCTACTAAGAGCAGATTTGATCGTTTCCGGATCCTTGGGGTTGAAGCTGCAGTAGATTTGAGTGTCGTCCGCATATATATGGAAACTAAGACCATGTTCACGAATGATGTCTCCAATCGGCTTTATATAGATGGTGAATGCCAACGGACCTAATACCGAGCCTTGTGGTACCCCATAGTCCAGTGTTTTTGGTGGGAAAACGTGCCGTCAATACACACGCTACAAGATCTGTTCTTAACATAACTTCGGAACCAAGATAGTGCCTTTCCTGTCAGGCCAATGGAATTACTGAGCATCCGTAGAAGGATCTGGTGGTCCACAGTGTCAAAGGGGGCACTTAAATCAAGAAGGACAAGAAACACGCCTTTGGTGTCACCAATCATTAGCATGATATCATTTTTGATTGAGAGCAGTGCAGTTTCAGTGCTGTGTCCAGATCTATATGCAGATTGTTGCGGTTCCCATAGATTGTGATCATCCATGTGTCGTAATGCGAGAAGCGATAACCTTTTCAATGACCTTCGAAAGAAAAGGTAAGTTCGACACCGGACGATAGTTGGCAAGTTCGTTGATGTCAAACGACGGCTTTTTGAGGATTGGAGTGACAATAGCATGTTTCAGCGAATCTGGAAAGGAACCTGTAGAAATCGATGTGTTGACTATATGGGTAATAATCGGAAGAAATGAATCAGTGTTAGCCTTTAGAAACCAGGTTGGAATAACGTCGAGACTGCATGATTTATTGGCTAAAGAGCTGATAATTTGACTAATCTTTTCACAGGATGCGATCTCAAAGTCCAAAGCTGGTATCACCCCTGTGTTTCGCATATGTAGGACTGGGCCAGCCTCACTCTCCAGGTTGTTGCGAATTGTAGATATTTTGTCTGTGAAGAAGTTGATGAAGTCATTAGCCAATGACTGACTTGAGTCAGATGAAGGGCGGGGTTTGCTGTCCTTGTTGAGTAGGGTGCCAACTGTTCGAAACATGCTCTTAGTGTCAGCGTTTTTTAGTTCTTTGGCGAAATACGCTCGTTTTGCTGCTTCAATGAGGCAATTGACGTGTTTCCGCCAATCCATAAAGACTGCGAAGTGCGATTCAAGATGGCTTTTTCGCCACATCCGTTCACTCCAACGCCTCATTTTGCGGGCTGCATGAATATCCGCATTGTACCATGGCTGCCGCAATCTGACTTTGCGGTGACGGGTCTGAAGGGGGGCGTGTCGATCAAGCACTCCTGTGACAGATGTGCCGAATTGAGAGATCAGCTGATTCAAGTTTGATGAATGAAAGCATGGTTCAATGGCATCAGCAATATCCTTGGTGAACGAGGGTACATCAATGTTACGAAAGTTCCGCATAGTGCGGACAGTATCGGGGTACGTAGGTTTAGAAATTTGAAGATTGCAGCACACATGGTGATCTGATAACAAGTTCTCATTAACGCTACAGGACTGAACTAGGTTATCGTCCTGGCGGCTGAGGACCAAGTCCAAGATATGACCACTCCTGTGTGTTGGACTTGACACAAATTGTTTGAAGCCAACCGCCGACACGGACGACATGAATTGACAAACATCAGAGCGCGAAGGCGCATCAATGTGCAGATTGAAATCACCAACAATCAGGAGTCTGTGTGAGTTCAGGGCTAGAACGCTGATAAAACCGTCAAATTCTCTCAGGAACTGCAATGTGGTAAACCCGTTCATCGGCGAGGGAGGTGGTCTGTAGATGACTACAGTGTTTATCTCACGTTTCATATTAGTGAAATACGCATGTTCAAACGTTGTGGTAGTGTGGCCTGAATGCTGAAAGAACATGCCAAGTGGAAGTTTATAAAGTAAGCTGATCCCTCCATAGTTGAGGGTTTGGATAGTGGAGCTGACTATTCGAGGCACATTCAGGAATGAGTAACCTGGCGGAGTGAGTTCACCGATGATAACCGAGCTCTCATCAGTGAGCCAAGTTTCAGTTACTGCCATTATGTCAATGTCATGTTCTAGTACATAGTCGGAGAACGAGAGAGTTTTGTTACGAATCGATCGTGCATTCCAAAGGCGTAAATCAAGCAAATTTCTTGCAGGTGAATGGAGGGTATTGGTTTTACAAGCTGACCGATGTTTGGCCTTGCGACATCCAGCCCGGGTCCCTCTATGTGTTGGGTGCTTTGAGTTCATCCCAAGGTTTCTTATAGTGTACCAAGTGCGTCGAGGAACGGGGAGCCTGGAACAAGTGGTTCCAATGGCCATAAGTTGAGTTTTGTTGTATGAGCATGTATGGTTTGATTGCCGAAAACGGTCATCACATTGATCAGGATGTTGATTGTCCGGGCCTGGGTTTGGATCAACATCGCCACAAGATAGTAATGTCACATTAAATGTGGCCAAGGAGTTGCTATAATAGGGAATACGGGCCATGCAGAATCCCTTAGGCCTACTGCGGCATTTTGTAGCTACATGCACTCTTTTATCGGCGTAGTTGCTATCAACAGTATTCAATTGTAGAATGCCCAGGCTCAATGAACACAATAGCGTTACCAGAAGAAGGGTCTTTAACTCCATTGTACTGGTTGTCATAGTATCCATTAAACCATTTGTCGTATCCGGTCCAGTGATCAGACTAAAGCAGGAATAAGATGGGTGTCATAGACAGTGACTACCTCTATGCAGTATACCTAGCTCGAGCAGCAGATCAGTCTGTAAGGTCGATGGAAACCGATCCAAGGATCCCTGTATGTTCTATGACGTTAACATTATCATCTGACAGCAATCAAGGGTGTAAGTCGATCGCAATCTCAGAGGTGCTGCTAGACGTGGCAGCCTGCTAGGCGCACACCAAAAATATTTGGAAATGATGCGTGACGATGGAATGTTGAGGTACCTCCTACATAATGTGATGTTCCAATACAAGGGGATGGTCGGAAGTGCCTTGATATTAATGATGGCCATCTACGAATGAGAATCGTAGGTTTAAATGTGCGTCCAAATTAAGTTACACTAATATTTTAAGGCGTGGGTGTTGTTCATCAGAGGACAGGCCTATGATATGTGTGGGGTTTTATAAGTTATGGAACAAATAAGGTTATAAGCCCTTATTTCAGCGATTTCAAGCCTCTTTAAATGTATACCTACTTTAAATAATAGGCATACTCGTATTTTATTATTAGGAAATAGCACAGATTTACTGATAATAATCACGCAGTGCGGGCCGGACTTTGTTTGGTCAGTTCCACTCGGTGCTGGATAAACCATTATTTCATCTGATTTGCAGAGGGCCTGCTTGGTACATGTATCATAGAACAGCAATTATTGTAGTGTCCATTTTCTTGTCCTATTACATTTTGAACTTTAAAATATTACTCATAACGGACATAGGATGAAGCATTATTTCCAGGTGATAATTCATGGGCACAATTTTCTCTTTATTCACCTTGAGTCTACAGGCACACTGAATAGACCAAGATTGTGCGCGAATGTTACGTGAATGCCTGTGGGAAATGTTACGCCGCCTGTTGGCGAATGGTGTGCGCCATTGCCGCTGTCGCGCCAAAACATGGACCTGAGAGTCGAGGAGTCACAGGAGTTGAAGATAGAAGGGTAGACTTCTTCGTATAGCAGAGTTGGGGCAATTATTCATTGGCAGCGGTAGAAAGTAGGTTTGGGTTTGACACACCTGAGATCGGGCACATGGCTCGATAGGCGCACAAGGGCTGAGATTTATCAACAAAATATACATGGACACCATGCACAGGTTCAGGAAATGCATCATTGGAACATAGGTATCTACCGACAATTTCCCTTATACATTGTACAAGCAGAATTAAGCATTCTAAGATTACAATTGTATTACGATCCGATGGTGCGCAGTCGTGCCTTTATTTGTCGGCAGCCCATTATATCATCACCACGCCTTAAACATATGGAAACAGATAGGGAATATGGTAGCATGACATGCCAATCCTAGCCTATGGGTTCTTGTTTGCTAGAACTGCAAGTCAGTTTTGATGAACGACCATTTTATTTTTTTTTAAGTTGAGTGAACAACTGTAGAAAAAGTGATTTCATGGCTCTGTTATATATGTGTTTCTATCCGCAAATTATGAGAGCAAAGTGACACCTGTCACAGTCTGGCAGCTGTTAATCGGTTTTATATCCGTTTTAATTAGTATGCGCTCAAATCATTGCTCTCACAATTCCTTTTAGTATTTCCACAACAATCTTGAATTCTCCTTTAGCCTTGAACAATCATCACAGCCACCCATAGATAAATTATGACTTATTGGTTAGTGTAAATCAGTAAATGTGCATACATTGGATAAAGGCGATGATATACAAGGGGATGGTCCTGTGATGTCGATACTGATGATATAAGGGGATGGGTCCCTATGATGTGCATAAAGGCAATGGAATAGCATGGCACGGGCCCCTATGTTTTGTGGATACATGCACTAGTTCAGAAAAGGGATTGCCCCCTATGTTGTGGTTACAGCGAATGCTGTTGTTTAGGGGTTGTACCCGGATAGATTAAGATATAGGAAATGCTTTGGGGTCGGACCCTACGATATGGATACAAGAAAAAGGAGACGTGGCACCATGGTTTGAAGACAGGCTACTTTGTGTCCAGCATTTAATAAAGTCCCCTCAGAAGCAGAGGCAAGCATTAAAAAAAACAAAAACAACAACAACAACAAAAATAGGGATTACATTGTGCCCCGTTGGTTTTGGTCATGTGACATGAGTTCTATAGCTACAATGTCCGGGTCCCCGAAGGGTGATATGTCACCATTCAGTTTAGATTATCACCATGTAGAGCAGATTATGCGATCGGGAGCCTGTGCATAATGAATCAACAGTCTCGCAGCGCATTCTTGCCGCCAAGAGACTATTCGCGTGGCAAGGCGTAACCACATGGAAAATGAGTCTTTACGACAGCGAGACCAAATGATGGACAGGCCTGAGTTAACCAAGTAAAATCAAACGTCTAGAGGTTTGTGGGCAAGTTGTCTGCAGCGTTGACATTGGTCCCTAGTAACATAACTCGGAGTGTCTGTTAGCATGCAGTCTGCTAACTAGTGTGCACGTATGTTTCAGCCGGTCATTTAGTTTGCGCGCATGCGCACTCAAAATATGAAATACTGATAATCAGCAAACATGAATGCCTGCAGTCGCAGTTTGACCCACTGAAGTATCGGTCAACATCACGCTCGAAGTACTTTGATAAAGTTTTCTTTTCCACGTGGACAGGAATTTAAGGCAATCAAAGCCACTTTTGCAAACCTTAGCGCCAAAAAAACCAGAGTAGTTGATGCATTTTTTACCGTGTAGTGTAGTACGAAAGTATTGGGTCACACATTCAAAACAGGCGACAGTTTAGGGTAATTTTTCAGTTTTGCCGAGTAATTGTAAACTTGTCTTCACTGAAAAATGGTAAAGGATGCCACGGAAAGTGCGATGTATAAATATCATTTAAGTCGGAAACCGTTTCAATGAGAAAAGCAAGGTCTCACGTTATACGTTTGTTTCGTTGAATGTAACGTTAGTGTGCACGTACCTGTACCCAGACCCTAGAATCTGGCCCGTAAACATGGCTAGCCATGCGCCGCGCGCCGCGGCGCTCCGTTTGTAATCTTTCGACGCGTTGGAAATGTATACATTTAACTGAAACGATTTACAACTGACTGGTTCCCGGCCCTGAAATGCAGTTAAGTACGATCATAGAGGGCACTGGGACCAGTGTATTTGTGCACGAAGCTTTCAAAATGGGTTTACTCGAAAAATGACGATTTTTATAAGCTACAGGTTTCCTTCCTACATCAAATCACCTGTAAAATGAAAATAATCTATCATCCTTTCCGATGGTACTACGGCTGATCTAAAGTAAACCCGGCAAATTGTCCAAATGTGTAAACCAAACTCAAAAGCGAACGATGATTTTCCTTTTCATTTTGTACGTTTTTTGTCCATATTTTTTTTTTTTTTATATATTTGAAAAGGTTTTAGCGCCGTTACCACACTGTAGAGACAATTTATATCTTTGTTCACTTGGTCTACAGATAATTTTTGGTTTGAATCATCTTTTAAGTACGTTTGAGAAGGATACATTTTAAGACATGAAAACCAGACAATCGTTCAGTGCGTCGTCTGCTACCGCTGTTTGCAAGCGACAACGCGGAGGAAACCATTGCGCATGCGTGAGAAGACACTAATGCACGCACGGTCTATGGGGCTGAAACATACGTGTGTGTTAGCTCACTTGGCGTTGAAGATTGTCATCGTCGCAAGCGACAATAAAGAATATCTCAATTACGATGTTCGATAGGAAGACATCAGTAAGAAAGGTATCAAAATATTTGAAATGTGCTTACTGAGTTAAACAAAAAACCCTCAAATATTGAGACACTGCCAATCAGGCCAAACAGCGTCGTAAATTCGCTTGATTTTGCCCAACGAGCTACAAAAAAATCATCTTGATCATGATGCTTGTAAAAATGTATTATGGAAGGTCATACTACACAAAAATGCCTCGACAGGGCACTATGCGGTAAGTAGAGGAATACGCGCAAATATTAATTATACGGCGGAAAATAAGGATATTAATATTGTTCAT